CAAGTTTGATGAAGTTTGGAAAGAATTAGTAAAGTTATTATGCACACAATAACAATTATTAACGACGACGACAACGCCGGACAAAATTTTTCCCTTAATATACCTTTCCCTTACATTTTTGATGGTACGGGCAAGGTAATAAAATGATGAACTTACCCTCCAGAGGCCCCTAGTTCCTTCCTCATGATAGATCGTCATGAAAGAGACCACAATACCACTATTCGCATTTCCACGGTACGACGTATTTGCAGTTTGCATACGTATCTAAATTAAAAACAATTTAGCTAAATTATTTCATAGCCTAAGTCAAATCTGTGAATAGACTTTCATCAAAAGCTAATCTATGATTTTTCTGAACACTTTCTTCCATCGGGATTGCTCATATTCCTCAAAATTTGCTACAACTCCCAGTCTAAAGAATGGCCTGTCAAATTTTACCTGCATATATTTTTTTAATATTTGTCTCAGTCAGTTTAGAGCACATGACTTCAATAGTGTCAAATCAATGATCACGAGAAAGATCACCAGACTACCATATCACACATGTGTAAACTAAGATCACATGACAACCAAAGTCCATTGAACATGCACATGCAACATCATGAACAATAAATGATGGAAACCTCCATAACCAAAGAACCACACATTGAACTTCCAGGCCATAATTATTAGAAATAAATGATAGAAATATCAATCCTTGTAGAAAATATTAATCATATGAAGATGACTACTATGTAGCTTCTGTTGAATTAATCATAGATGTGCAAGAACAAAAACTCACCTTAACAACATCAGTAGGGTTCGCCACAGATGACGCTAACACCCCAGCACTCACTCCACACAGTACATTGCCCAGTACAGTCTCATTAGCAGGATCTGGCACCAACAGTCTCTTGAATGTATGATAGCAACCAAACTTGATGGTTCCATACGATGCTTGTCTCAAAAGAGCTACTTTAACCCTAGGGAAGGGGGAAAAATAATCGTTCTAAGCAAGAGTACTGCATGTGCTTGCATTTTTCTAAGTAACGTTAACCGGCAGTTATATTTATTAGCAAGCGAGATAACTTACCCCGAATAAAGAGCTCTTACACCTTCTTCTTGGGTGATTTTACTGAAGGCATGTATCATGCCCCGGTATTTAAGGTCTTTATAACGAGCCTCCCCATGCTGGCCCTGAACTTGTAACCGTGTTTTAGTGGTATCAATGGGGAAAGTACCTGCAATACCAACAAATAAAGAAAAAGAAAATTCCATAATGTCAGTCAATACATTTTACGTCATGATGAGCAATTATAACATTTTACATAAATGGGATATTAAATAGCAAGACTTTCTCAAACAGCCAGTTGAACACTGAAGGCTAACCATATCAAGAATGAGATGCGTTTTTTCAAACTTTTTTAATTAGTTGATACATCAAAAATAGATTTCCACAAGAATCACTCACTGAATATTTCAGATTAATCTGACAAAAAACAAGTTGAGGTAATTTTAAACTAAAAATTTTATGGAATGTCGAGAGGAAAAAAGAATTTGGTAATTTGCATGACTACACTCTTGTTCCATGTTTTGTCAGAGTATATAAAAACATACTGACACCATCTTATCAGAAGACATTTAATATGCAGAACTGGCAACTATGGCAAATACAGGCTAGTTATGAAATAACATTTTCAATTGAAAGTCAACTTGAGTCAAATATACCCTACATTTTCAGAGCATCAATATGACAATCATATTGTGAAGCCTTCATAACACTAAGAATATGCTTAGAACATGCCTACATGTAGAAAATGCATCTCATCCTTAAACACGCGTAGCATTATTTGTTACAGTCATTAATTTTCCAATCACTGTTAATAAAATAGGCTACAAATATTCTTTTAAAAGCCCCAATCAAATGCAGAATTTCGTTTTCTCAGAGGTTTATATTTTCACTGAAATATGTCTAATGAAGCATTCTATAATTTATAATTAGTAACGACTTGTTCGTCAAAATGTGAAATACATCTTGGAAAAATCTAAATTCGGCAATCAGCAATTTGGCTCATGTAGACCTCAATACTTCATTAAAATCAGTAACACCAAATCAGTCAACAGCAAATTATAACCGGTGTTCATCAGTATGGTCTTTTAAGCTGGGAATTAGCAATTTGGCTAATGTAAGTTTAAAACAATTGCGCTATTTTGATAGGAAACAGGATAAGGTCATAAACAAGCAATCACAAAGTTGCACTCACTTATACCACACTTCCAACTCGTACAAGACCATTCTACATTTTGCATCTCTTGCTGACACTTAAGTGCCAGTAAAAAAGGAGTGATAGACATGATAGAATGAGATCTGAGCCAAATTAGAGTATAATGTACATGACAACAGGTAGATACCCCTCCTCTAGCCCTAAGTCAATTTGTTTCGCTGTCAACATCTACAGGAATCAATTTTATGATAACTACTCAGTAGGCTTACTGTGTTAACAAGTTAGAAGGATGATTGCCGAAGGTAGACACGTTAAGTCTCCTCAAGCAGGCATGTCGCAAAGAATAGCAGGTAATAATGGTGCTCTTCAGCTTCATCCATTTCGCCACGTAGGTCAGTCTTGCTGCCAGCCTAGATCCAGGTGTATAGGCGAGACAGTCCCAACTGTTCATCATGGAATGTGCCCAGTTCGCTTGCAGCAGATGATCCGGGCGGGCCTATATGACATAGTGAAACTTAACCCAGCATGTGTGTAAACTCACTGACATGACAAATAAATGCAATGGAGTCATAGAAGTGATCTTGGAACAACGTAAATATTGCCAACATTTGATTTTTTTTTTTTTTTTTTTGAGTTTCAGAATAATTAACTGAAAATGTACTATATACTGAACCATAAGCGAATTCAGCAAAATAGGCATGAAGCCAGACAAACTACCTTCACAAATAATTACACATGATACACAAAGAAAAAAGAAAATATGTATATATACACAAACTCTGCCAATGTAAATTTTTCAAAATCTTAATATTCGGATTGTTTACCCGTCAATTTACAATTTACCCGTCCGGCACAGTGGACCTTCACCTACAATGTCCATTCCATTCTGGTATCCACAATAAATATATAATTGTCTTAAGAACAATATTGGATTTTATTCTCGTTTAACACGGTAAACGTATTACCTATAACAACTTTCAATCCATTACAGTAAACAA